CAAACTATTTGCCCTCTTAGAAATTCATGTAAAAAGTTATCCTTATGGATTAAGAACATAGTCTGTATCACTAGTTTTCATGCTTTGCACTTACAGATTCTCTTGCAGACTCTGTAGTTGTTGCTTTAACATTGCAGCCTCCCTTTGCCAGAACTGTAATTAATAAATAGAGATTTTTTATGGTCATCTGTGTAATCATCATAAACACTTTAAAATGTAAGCAACAAAATAATTGTGAATTTGTATGCTAAAATAACTTCAGGTGCGATTTTGGTAATTATCCACTCAAACTGGATAATTACCGTTTAGAGTTTTGATTATTTCAGTTTTTACCACCAATTAGAGATCAAATCTAAATAATTAAGGATAATTGTTTCCGAGTTATTCCTCATCATGGCGTGGTCATGTATTAGACAATAAGGATCACAATAATATAATGATACAACTCCTGAATTAGTTCCACTTGAGGGTAAATCCATTTTTTTGGGATATATATGTTATATTCATATGATATGATTGTTGTCTTCCCATAATTTGCAACTAGTTAGTAAAAAAATTAAGCAATTAAGATGACTTTATTAGATGTCACTTGTTATTCTAGACTGTTTTTAATTTGCCTATATTTTATTTTGTGTGTCATATGAGTAGTTCCACAACTTTCTAGGATGCATGTTAAGTATGGAATTACAAGTATACTAGATTGTTTTTAATTTCCAGAAGTTTCTTAAGGATACTAGATTGCATTACAAGTATAGGATTACTTGTTGTTAGAGCATCTCCAATGGGAATGGGAGGTTTTTTTTTATAGTTTATTACTATATGAAATAATGTTTAAAGATGTTGTTACATTGGAACACTCGACTTTTTTTTTTTTTTTTGTATTATGTTCTGTATATTTAACCCCCTTATTCAATATATTTCACTTTACTCCCCTAATTATATTTAAATATCTAAAATCTTTATTATTTTTTCTCTAGTAATTCTGTTTTATTATATATCCAATAATATTTCATTTTATTTCTCAATATCAAATATTAACTTTATAACTATTATACAATATAGTCTAATTATTAGTTTTTATCTAATCTCTATCTAAGTTCTGAATAGTAGTTAAATATTTTGTTGTAGCTAGTCATTATGTCAACACGTAGTGATAGAGACTGGATGTACAAAAGGTTAGATCATGGGTATCTTAGCACAACATATCATGCATCCGTCAAAGGATTTCTCGATGTTGCTTTTTCTAATGAAGAAACCGTTGATGGGGATTATATTAGATGTCCTTGTTTTAAATGCAAGAACATGTCTTATAAAACAAGAGGTGATGTAGAGCTTCACTTGTTACAATGCGGTTTCATTCCTAATTACACAACTTGGTGGGCACATGGTGAAAGAAATACGATATCTGAACATGAGGAAGAATCTTCTAATCCGATGCAGGATCCGATGGAAGATGATGATGATGTTAATGGGTGTACACAAATGTTGATGGATGTAATGGAGGAACTCCCGAATCCAACTGCCAAGGGGTTCTATGATATGTTAGAAGATGCTGATGAACCTTTGTGGGATGGATGTGAAAATTATTCAAAATTACAAGCTGCAACAGAGTTGTTGCATTGGAAGTTAAATACAATATATCTGAGGCTGCCTATGATCACATACTTCCTATAATTAAGCGGATGCTACCCAAAGGTGAGAAACTAGTTGAGAACTTCTATGAGACGAAGAAGCTTTTGAAAATAATTAGACTCCCAGAAAAAAAAGATTCATGCTTGCAAAAACCATTGCATGATATTCTATGGGGCAGATTCTGATTTGACTAAGTGTCGAGTGTGTGATCATGATCGATACAAGAGTGGCAGACGACCTTATCTGGTTATGAGGTACTTTCCGATTGCTCCTAGACTCCAAAGATTGTATTTGACAAAAAAGACAGCAAAGCAAATGACATGGCACTATGAACATCAGACAGAACCGGGTTTGATGGTCCATCCAAGTGATGGTGAGGCTTGGAAGCATTTCGACTCAATGCATCCAGAATTTTCAAGTGAACCACGGAATGTTCGTCTTGGGCTACGCACCGATGGGTTTAGTCCAAATAACTCAAATACAACCCCGTATTCATGTTGGCCTGTTTTCCTTTCAATTTATAACTTGCCTCCTTGGATGTGCTTAAAAGAACCATATGTTCAATTAAGCATAGTTATTCCTGGAAAAAAGAGCCCAGGTCAAAATATAGATGTGTTTCTCAGGCCGCTAATTGATGAGTTAAAGGTTCTATATACAGACGGTGTTGTGACTTATGATGCTTCGACTAAATGCAATTTCACAATGAAAGCTATACTTCTTTGGACAGTTAGTGACTTTCCTTCTTATGCAATGTTATCGGGATGGAGCACACATGGCAAGTTAGCATGTCCGTATTGTATGGGTGAGTCAGGGTCGTTTCGGTTACACCATGGTAGTAAACCATGTTGGTTTGATTGCCATCAAAAAATTTTACCTGAACAACACACATATAGGGGTGACAAAATAGGATTTCTGGCTAATAAGGTTGAGCGATCTAGCCCCCCACCAATATTAACCGGTGATCAGATTTGGGAGCAAGTACGACACTTTCCAACTGTTTATGAAGGCAAACCTTTTAGAGCGAAGAATGCAAAATTCCCTGGTTTTGGGATTACTCATAATTGGGTTAAGAGGAGCATCTTTTGGGAGCTACCATATTGGTGGAAGTTGTTAATACGACACAACCTTGATCCCATGCACATTGAGACAAATGTGTTCAAAAATCGTTTCAACACCGTGATGGACACCTCAAAAAGCAAAGACAACATGAATGCAAGAAAAGATATAGAAATGTATTGCAATCGAGTGCAATGGCATACATGGAAGAAGGGAAATAAGGATATGAAAAAGAGAGCATCGTTTGCTTTGAGCAAAGAACAAGTAGCTAAAATATGCCAATGGTTGATTAAACTTAAATTCCCGGACGGATACGCCTCAAACTTGGGGGGGGGGGGTGCGTTAATGTAGATGATAATAGATTTTACAAATTCAAGAGTCACGAGTGCCATGTATTTCTTCAAATATTGTTGCCTATTTCTCTAAGAGGTATGGTGCCAAATTCAACATGGGATGCAATTACAGAGTTGTGTACATTCTTTCGTGTAATATGTTCTAGGGTGTTACGCGTAGATGACTTACAACGCTTGCAAACAACTATTGTTGAAACCATTTGCAAGTTGGAAAAAATATTTCCACCTGGATTCTTTGACTCCATGGAGCATCTTGTTATCCACTTAGCTCGAGAAGCTATGCTTGGTGGTCCAGTTCAATATAGGTGGATGTATCTTTATGAAAGGTATATTTTTTACCATATAAAATATTCTATCATAAAACCTATGGAATTTCTAATAAGCCTTTTCCAACATCTTTTTAGGAAGCTGGGATCAATGAAAAGAAAGATAAAAAACCATGCGAAGGTTGAGGGGTCCATTGTTGAGGCTTACATGATTGGAGAAATATAAAAATTTTCCTCACAATACTTTTTGCCTACAATTGAAACCCGGTTGAATCGTGAGTCGCGTAATTTTGCCCCAGACATTCCTAGTTATACCATGGTCGACTCTCGATTAAGCATTTTCAAAGTTCCATCTCGAAGATTATTCGAAAAAAGTGGTCAACGGAGGCCTTTGACAGATGATGAGATGCGTATTGCTCATAATTACATGTTGATCAATTGTGTTGAGGTTCTACCTTTTTTAAGGTATGTCAAGTTATCTATTTTTCCTTAATGTCGTGAGTCTCTAAAATGTTTGTTATTTTTTAAGGTTGTTTGAAAATTATGTGATCCAAAGCCAACCTGATATGGATGATGGAGCATTTGAAAGGTTTAGGGACCAACATTTTTCTAAGTGGTTTAAAGATCATGTGAGTATGATACGAGAAATTTTGTATTACCAAAGTGTCTTCCCGCGTAAATTAGTTAATAAATGAATTTATCAATGTAGGTTTTTCAATAATCAAATGATATCAGTCAACATTTGAAATGCCTTGCACGAGGACCATTACGACATGTTAGGTCATATAAAGGATACTTTGTCAATGGTTACAAGTTTCATACTGAAAAATATGGTGATGGACGGGTCACACACAAAAGTGGTGTATGTGTAAGAGGGACTTGTTACAATGAGTCTGAGTGTGACTATTATGGGTTGTTGGATGAGGTTTTGGAAGTAGAATATCAAGGCATAGGGCGTTGCATCATAGTATTGTTCAAGTGTATATGGTTTAACCCTACTGAAGGGGTACGTGTGGATCGAAAGCATAATTTGGTTAATATTAAATACAAATCAAGACTAAGAAATGAAGATCCATTTATCCTAGCGTCACAAGCAGAACAAGTGTATTATGCACCATATCCTGCAATGAAGGATTTGAAAGATTGGTGGGCTATCATCAAGACGAAACCAAGGGGTGTATATGATCTACAACAATGTGTTACTGAAGAAGATGATGATGAGGATGAAGAGGACCAATTCTTTCAAGAAAGTGAAGCGACTTTACCTTCTACAAGTAGCGGTGCAAATGAGGTGGCAGGACCCCTTTCTCATGTAATTGAAGGAGAAATAGAAGAAGTTAATGACAATGACATTGTGAGAGAAGAGGATGAAGAAGTTGATGATAACTTGGATGATTCATCCGAAGATGATATTGAAGATGAAAACATATGTGATGATAATTCTGATGATGAGTAATTACTAAAAATGTAGAATGAAACAATGTATTTGGACCTATATATTTTGCCTAATGGACCTTATAAATAACTTTTTAGCTAAAATGATTGTTTTCTTTTTCTATATACATTCAATTTTCATTTATTTGTGTATTATAGCATGTTACCTTCTCTTACTTCTATAATTTTCTATTATAATACATACTTGTTCTAATCAATAGTTTATTAATTCTTGATTTTAAGGGTTATTTTTTGACTAATGGCGCAACGAGGAGCCCGTGGTGGTGGTCGTAGTGGTAGTCACATTGGTGGTCGTGATGCTGGAGATATAAATGCATCTCAATCACACAATGATGCAGAAATTCAACCTTCTTCTTCAGTTAGAGGATCAAACATCTTGGAACAAGTTCCAAGTAACCCATCAAAAAGGAAGTTCATTGAAGTCGATTCTGAAACAGAGTACTAATGTTAATTTTACAATTGTTTATGAAAATGAATTTACTTGTTAATGATAATACTAATGCTAATTTTTTAATTTTTTATTTTTTGCAAGATTTACGGATCAAATTTCAGTGATCAGAGCCATCACATGTATACTGAAGACGATGTTTGACGGCCCATGGACCTCATGGAAGAAGGTTGACAAAGAACATCGTGATGCAATGTGGGAACACTTCAAGATTTGTAATTATTATTTTTTATGATTTATCAAAGTAAAAATTGGTATAAAATGAAAAAGATAATTGTATGCGTGATCTACATGTAGGGTTTGTATGTTTGGCCCGAAGAGACTGATGTTCTTGCTCGCAAGGTATGGGAAGACTGTATGAAGAAACGATTTCCTGACGTAATGCGAAGAGCACGTGAAGCATCTTTAAAACTTGCCAAAGCTGCAAATGTGAATGCCTCACTATAAGGTGATTTAAATTTGCTAAAGGACTATCGCCCAAATTGGATAAAAAAGGAGTATTGGGAAAAAATGATCAATGAAGTGTGGACCACATCTAAATGGAAACGTTTATCACAATCAGGGAAAAATAACAGAAATAAATTAGAAGATGGCTCTGTTTCCAAACATACCGAGGGTTCTATATCTATTCGTCAACATAAGAAAAGAATGGTAAGATGTTTGCATCTCACGTTAGTTTCCACTTAGACTGTTGAGTTTTTGTTTTGTTTTTTAATGTATTACTAATGGATTTTGTAGCAAGCAATGCTTAAACGCCCTCCTACAGGAGTTGAACTTTATGCAAGGTTGCACACTAAATGGTCTACTCAAGAGTATATTACACCAAAGGCAGCTAAAGTTAAGGTATTTTCAATTCTTTTGTAGGAAACAAAACTTCCTACTACTCGGGTTAATGACTTTGTTAAAGCAACTAATTGACAGAAAACAAATCTTTCGTAAGTAGTAATCAACTTACAAAAGAAAAGAAACAAATTATTATCTCTAAATGTTTGATCCTCTACCTAGTTGTAATTAAGTGTTTTGTAAGTAGTAATCAACTTTATGCAAGTTTTGAGTATTGATTAATAAGAGGCTTATGAAGTGGTTCATTCTATTCCTTGATTATGAATTTAATGGGATGGAATGAACCATTCCATTCCTTATTTCATGTTTCTATTTTTTCCATATTTTTTTTGCTATAATAGGAGGCTTATGAAAGTGCTATGGTGGCTAAGTTTGGTGATGATACTAGTTGTCACCCCCTCTTGGATAATGAAACATGGTGTGAAGTTTCCGGAGGAGTCAAGAAAGGAAGAATATATGGATTCGGATATGTGTCTAATCCAGCGAGCTTTTTGGAAGGAACATCTAGTACAATAACATCCCAAGAGGTTTGTTTAATTTTGTACTTTATAAAAATTTCTTATCATAGCATTGTACTTACAAAGTTTCCTATCATGACATTGTACTTACAAAGTTTCCTATCATGGCATTGTACTTACAAAGTTTCCTATCATGGCATTGTACTTACAAAGTTTTCTATCATGGTATTATACTTACAAAGTTTCCTATCATGGCATTGTACTTACAAAGTTTCCTATCATGGCATTGTACTTACAAATTTTCCTATCATGGCATTGTACTTACAAAGTTTCCTATCATGTTATTGTACTTTAGGTTGTCTATGAACGTGTACGAAACGAGATGCGTGACGAAATGGATGCTAAAGCTGCAGAAATGGAAGCTAAACATCAACAAATACATGAGGAAATGGATGCCAAAGCTGCAGCAATAGATGCCAAACAACAAATTGATGCAAAATATGAAGCAATGGAGAAGATGTATGCAGCCTTGCAAAATATGATGGGAAATTGAAAATTAGAGGTAATATGATGTTAACCATTAGTATTTGATGTTTTTGAATGACTTGTTAACCTTTTGTATTTGATGTTTTTGATTGTTTTGAATAATGTTTTATAGGAATGAGAACCGAAGATGATTGGATGGATATGAAATGAAGAGAGCAGCTAAAATGTTATTTTGAAGGTTAAACTTTTTTCTGTTTGTACCTCTTTTGCATACTTTGGATTTCTTGGTGCTAAAATGTTATTTTGAAGTTAAACCATTGGGAGTTTGATGTTATAAGGATAGTTTCGTTTTTGGATGTTTTTTGAATGACACTTTGGTAAACTTTGATAGTTTTGGTGTTTTAATGCTTGGTTGTATCATTATTTGATGTTCTTTAGTATAATAATTTGATGATTATAGTATTTTTTTCTTTTAGAATCATAATAAAAAAAAATGATATTACAAGTTCGTGGTGAGAAAATAAAAAGTATTTTAATGCATGAATTTTGCGAGGGATTAGCTACGAAAAAAAACCATGTCTAAAGTGTGCGATGGATCAGCGACGGAAAGGAAAAGAATTTAATGTATGAATTTTGCAAGGGATTAGTGATGGAAAAAAATCATGTCTAAAGTTTGCGATAGATCAGCGACGGGAAAAAAAATAGTATATGCATTTTGCAAGGGATTAGCTACGGAAAAAAAAAAAACTGTTCATGGAAATTTGCGACAAAACAGCGACAGAATGCATTGAGTGACATTTAGTGATATTTAGCGACGGATATTCTGTCGCTAACTTTGTAGCAAGGAAAACCCGATTCGTCGCTAAAACCCTCGCTGAGAAATTAGCCACCTTTTTATTACCTATGGAGTGAATCCGTTACCGATCCGTCGCAAACAACATTTAGCGACGGATTTTTCCGTCGCTAAAACCCATGTTTCTAGTAGTGCTTCTACACTTGTTTTCTACATATTATTTGCAATTAAGATAGCAAAATCTAATTCTAAATCACATCTAGATCGTATAATCATCATTTAACCATGCATAACTTAAGGTATTTGTGAGAGATTCGTTCATCAGCATCCACATGAGAGATTGTTGGGCTGTTGAGTTTGATTCACTCTTTGACCTAATAGTCGCTAGGCAGACTAAACATGGGGTTTTAGGTATTTTGCTCCTATAAATAAATATCTTGAATTTGTTTAACCTATGCAAGAAATTTGACAATATCAATAAAATCCACATGTATTGTTCGTCTGAGGATGTAGTTGGTTACTCTAATCGTGTGAACCATGTTAAAAGAATGTGTTCTTGTCTTTTGTTTGCATTATCACTCTCTATGTATAAAATTGTTTATCACTCTGTTGAATTTCTTAAACCCTAAAAGTTTCATAGGGTTTTAAAACCTCCACTAAAGCTTCATGAACCCAAATTCACTATAGAAGTGAGAATACATCACTAGATTTGTGTTCTAAAATAGAATCTAATAGTATATTTGAATTAATTAAGTAATTAACTATAGAAATCAGAGTTGAAGATGTTTATTAGATGATAGAGACTTAGATAACCAAAGAAGGATTATATACATTACCATGAGAACTTTGTAGTTAAACATGCCTATGCAAGAGCAATTCAGGATGTGTTACATTTATAAGTTTTCATATTGGGTGTCCCAAAGCATACATATTATGATAATGCCTTAAGGGATGTTACAAATAGTATTAAAGAATGGGCACGAGTCACTGTGTATGATAGAGGTGTTGAACCTTGTAGCATGTGCCTTAAGGGATGTTACAAATGGTATCAAAGTCTGGGCACAAATCAATGTGTTTGACGGGGTTGTTGAACCTTGTAGTGAGGGTTAATGAGGGAGAGACCTGATCCCACATCAACTGTGAAATAAAATTTCCATATAAAGTGTGTGCATATAAATTCCCTTTCATAACACATTTTAAATTCGTGAGGGTAGAAGATCTCATGAGAACTTTCCTATTAAGTGTGCTCATATGCGAGTAATTTCAGGATGGGTGACCCCTCTTAGAAGTTTTCATGTCAAGTAGCCCAAAACAAACAATATTATGTTATATGTATAAGGGACACATTCATTTTCACAAATTGTTTCTAAAGCCATGAGGGTATAAGATCCTACAAGAACTTTGTAATTAAGTTTTCCTGTACGAGAAATTTTTTAGGATAGGTGACTCCCTGAAAAGTATTTGTGTCAGGTAGCCCAAAACGAACAATATTGTGGTACATGCCTTAGGGGATGTTATAGATGGTCTTAGAGATTGGGTATAACCCATAATAACGTTACAATTAAGCTTACAGGGGAGAGAGAAATGTCAAGATGGTTGAACCTCGTAAAGAGGGGTGGATGGGGGAGGGATCCCTGATCTCACATCGACTGAGGGGAAGAACTAATCATTGCCTTATAAGAGGTGTTGATACTGTAACATCCCAAAAATACTGATTAAAAATTTCAAGTTAATTAAATCAAAACCATCCATTCATTATTCCAAAGGATGATCGGAATAAAAATATTCTCAAAACATCAGGGTAAAATCATAAAAAATCATTGCAGAATAATCTCCAGGGTATGCGGTACGATCAAACCGGGCCCTTCCTTTTGAAACTAGAAGCACCTGAAAACATTTTAAACATAAACCGTAAGCACAAGCTTAGTGAGTTCCCCAAAATACCGCATACCATACATACAGTTGGGCCCAACCGTAGGGTATATTCCAACCCAATCAAACAATAATGGGCCCAACCCTGGGGTATGTTTCAACCCAATACATAACAATAAGCCCAGCCCTAGGGTACGTTTCAACCCAATACATATCAATGGGCCTAGCCCTGGGGAAAGACCAAGGCTTGCCAAATTTGATCGCTTTGTGACAATAGAGACCTAGGGAGATCCAGATCTGAAGTTACAACTTTAGATCTTACCACAACATCCAACATAATCCCCAAACATGCTAAAGTTATCCTTAAACCCAACAAGAAGAAGATCTAGCTAATGAAAAGCTAAAGTAATGACTTGTTACCTCCAAAACGATGCTAAGATGAAGTAGAACTCGGATCCACAACCTTTTCTTGTTCCAAGATCTAGTACTTCAAGCTCTTCTCACCATAATCCACCTTCAAAGCTTAATATCACACAAAAAGAAGAGTAAACAATGATTTAGGGTTTCTGGACTCAAAAGGGGGTTGTAAGGGAGGCTAAGGGGGAAAATGACCCTTCAAATAGGGTGCAAAACCCCTGAAATTATGGTTTCCTCCTCCAGCTCCAACTCGTCGAGTCGTGTCCTCAAACTCGTCGATTTGGTCACTTAAGACACATGGCCAAATCCGTTTCTACTAGATGATTCAGGGCCTCTAACTCTTTGAATAGACCTTTCAAAATGGAAATATAAGACTCTAAAGTTTATACCTGAGAGTCGGGGTGTTACACCACAAAGCATAGATCTGACTTCCTTGAGCTAGGATACCACGTAAAGTTGTTAACTTTACATCCATGCATATCTAGATGAAGCTCTTAAGCTTCAAATGAACTTAACACTCGACTGAATGCATACATGACATCAAGATCCTCCTAAAGTTTACACCTTTAAGCTCAAGGGTAGCATAACAAACTCAGATCTGAAAGGATGAACCTTTACACCACCAATCTTATCCATAACTCAAAAAGGAGTCCAAAATCACAATAAAACCCAAATGAGAAGATCTAGGCTATTAATCACCAAGTTCCATAATTTTTACCTCAAATGGTTGCCAAAAGTGTGATAGATTCTGGATCCTAAAGCTTCCCTCCAAGCTAAACAACTTCAAGCTCTTCCAAGCCTTCACTAAGCACCAAAAGCACACAAAAATCCGCTCAAAACTACAGTATTCCCAACAAGAGGCTCACAACATGATTTAGGGTTTCAGGGGGACAAGGAGACTTATAAGGAGGCCAAAAGAAATACTTAAGGCCTTTAAATAAGGTGCAAGAATCTAAAATTTAGGGTTTCCTTTTGAGTGGCCAACTTGCCGAGTTGAGGCTCCTCAACTCGTCGAGTGGAACCATTAATCCACAATTCTTCATCTTCAACTCGCTGAGTTGGCTCCTCTAACTCACCGAGTCCAACTAGAAATATGCATAATTCTACAATTAACTTTCTAGATTCTGGGTGTTACATTTCTTCACCATACTTAACTCTCATTATTGGAAAGGAGTGCTAAAATCCTTTCTAGTCATATACGACCTATTATTAGATTTCTTAATTATTCTAATAGTTGTTGTAGGTTTTATCTTTTACCCATAATTATGGTCTTACGATAATTTATGTGATGTGTTTCATGTATCTTATATATCTATAGTTTATACCCTTTACATATTTTGAATTCTACTTGATGGAAGTAACAATATTAAATGCCTTAATATTGTCTATTTTTCTATTAATTTTTGTTTAGTACAAGTTGAGCGAACCATCTTTCTTACTCAAGAACAACATAAAAATACTTGTAAATTTCCATAGAGATACAACAAGAAAATGGGAAGGGAATATATATATATATATATATATATATATATATATATATATATATATATATATATATATATATATATTCCTCAAGGATAATTAATAATGGCATTACGTTCATCATCTAATCCTACAAATATCAAAATCAGATTTTCCAAGTACTTTGTGTTTTATGTTAATTTGATATTGAATTGGTTAAGATACGGTCTTAATCAATTTAAAACGGATATTCAGTTGTTCCATTTTGACAATCGTCGAGAGTTTAACAATCATCCCCTTATTGACCTTTTTCAAGCTAATGGAATCGAAAATTGGCTCTCTTGTCCCTATACGTCCCAAAGAAATGGGAAAGGTGAACACACTATTAGAACTGTCAAAAACATCATTTGTACATCTCTCATTCAGGCCTCTCTTCCTCCTATATTTTAGGTAGAGGCCATTCATTCCATTGCTCATACTTTCAGCATTCTTCCAACCATAACACTCAAGTTTCAAACACCATTTGAAATTCTATTTGGTCTTGTTCCCTCTTATACTTATTTACATGTGTTTTGTTTTATTTTCTATCCTAGCACGGCATCCACTTCCCCTTATAAACTTGCGCCTCGCTCCTCCGCTTACATCTATCTTTGTCCTAACACTGATCATCATGCCTACTGATGCCTTGATCTCATAACCTAGAAGATTATCATTTCAAGACACATCATATTTGACGAAAATCACTTTCCTTACTATGACTTTCATCCTTCTACCTCTTCCTCTGCCTATGACTCCTTCATTTCTAATGATGATCTACCTAAGTTGCCTACTTTTTTAGATATTGTGCCTGCTTTGACTGATTCTTCTCCTTCACCCTTTTCTTTCGTTACTTCACCACCTCCCATGTTCCATCCCGT